CTCAATGAACTTCAAACAGGATGAACTCGAAGGGATGCACACCAAGGCGAATTTTAATTAATCTGTTGAAAGAGAGAATCTTCGAAACAGCAAAAGTGCCTCATCACATCTGAGGAACCCTCCATTAGATTATTAATTTATTTCATATGTAAAATAAAGATGCTTTAATAATTTAATTAAGGTTAAGTTGTGTTAGGCGATTATAACAATCCTAACATAGTGAACATTCAATAAATGTAAGCTATAGTGATCATTATAAATACTATTGGTATCACTTAAATAGCTTTCTTCCTCTCTGTTGAGGGGGTTGTTTCACAGAGCTTTATGGCCCAGGTATCAGCTCCCCATATTACAATAATATGAATCCCCATTTGCTCTTGTTTTTCATTTACTTCGACAGGGAGGTAAGGAGTCACGTCTGAACACGGAGACTGTGGATGGCATAGAGGCGTAAAAAGCAACATGGTCTGTTTCCCCGTGTGGAGTGAGCCGTCAGTGTTAAGTCTGTCCCTCCTTGATCTTCCTAAACTTAGAAATTGTAATTCAGCACCGGAGACCACAGCTCTGCTCACTTAACAGGCTGGAGGTCACCTTGACATGTCCCAGTAGGAATCCATACTCACAACATCACTGAACGCACCTTGTTTGAATTTGCCCAGCAGTTGCTTCTAAAGGAGGCGATCGTCACAGCGATGCTGAGCTCTGCTATGCTGATGATCAGTAAGACCGACAAAATTCCCTGTAAATAATGGAGATAAATATATGGCATTTGGAATGAAAGCCATTTTAAAGATATAAACCAAGGACCAGTTACACAGTGTGACCAAGCACGGGAAAGCCCATGTTTTAGACGTGTCTGGAGTCATCAGTGATTGAACGGTTTTCATCCTGTGTGTGTCTGATAAGCAGGGATAGTGAACTCCAGTGCCTATAGAGGCACCGGACAGCCATCTCAAATGGGTGAAACAGGAGGGGAGAAAGGAGAGGAGAGGTATATCCCTCAGTATCCATTACTCAGGTCCAGGCAATAGCTGCCATGTGGGAATGTGGGGACCTTGATGCCTCTCGGTGTTCTCATCCCTAAGGCAGTTGTATATGCACACTGTTAGTGTGAAACTTTCCAGTTATTTGTTCACTTCTGTGAACCAAATGGAACATACTTTGGGTTTGGCGTAGCCTATAGATTGCATTTTGCACACTCTGCTTTAAGGTGATGTTTAGTTACCTTAAAGTAGGGAGAAGTAGCAGGGAATAGCATGATGTCCAAAAAGTTTAGCCTTTGGAGACAAGAAGAGATGACTGCAGTTGGGTCTACTGTTACACTTAACCCTGGACAAGAGTCTGTCTAAATTTTGATTTCCCTGCAACAAAGCCAAAAGTTTGAATATTCTTCTTTTATTTATTTATTTACTTTTTTGAGAAAACCACAATATATGCAGCAGAAAGGCCACCAACTCCAGTATTCTGGCCTGGAGAATTCCATGGACTGTATGATCCATGGGGTTGCAAAGAGTTGGACACGACTGAGTGACTTTCACTGTGAATTTACCAGCTTCAGCTGGGGAACAAGATGGTCTGACCTTGGTCTTTGTGGAACTTCCGTCATTGTAAGGGAGGCAGACAGTGACAAATAATTAGGCAATTATTTGCCTCACTAAATTATGATAAGTGCTATGAAAAAACATGGGAGCTAGGTACTACTACTGATATAATGGGAGACCTGCCCTGGGATGGGCAGAGGTGTGATCAGGAAGCACCCTCTTAAAGACATGAGGTTTGAGATTACAGAATGAGGAGGAGTTCAGCGGGTGGGTGGGAAAAGATAGGTGCTGGGCTGGGGAACATTTGAAGAAAGAAAAAGTGGTCTAGACCCCTTAAAGAATTCTAGGAGGTGGCGGGGAGCATGCAGTGAGGATGAAGGCCTGGAATAATGCTAGAAAGTTAGGCCAGATAGATGTGTTAGAGTCTGACAAACCTTTTAAGATTTGGGTCTAAATTCTGTGTTTAGCAGGAAGCCATGGAGTAATTCTGTCCGGGTGTGCATTTTTAAGTGACGACTCTAGCTACAGTGTGCACAGTGGATAGGTGTTTGGGGCAGGAGTCAGTCCAGGAGATGTGTAAAGCCCACTGTTCCTGGATATTTTTAGTTTGCTTTTGATATTTGGGTCGTGTTCAACAAGGAATTGTGAAGTGATATACATAGGAGGTCTTGGAACAGAGTCTCCTGGATTCTGAATGCAGGAGCTAACTAATGCTCTGATGCACATCTGTGCAGGGCAGGAACAGAGTTCTGTTCATCTGGGGATTTAACCTCGGAAGACAATTTCTTCCTGGTATATACTAACGTAATGTACAGTGGTGGCCTCCTGTCTACTAGGAAAAGGGATAAGGCTAATAATGTAGCATCACGTTCTTGGTCCAATTAGGATTTTGTCTCTTACATTGTTTTCTGACTTTCCTTAGTAACCTTTTATGAGTCTAATTCTGTAATTTGTTTCAGAACATATCAGAGTATACTAGGCTCACTTTAATGGGTAATCATGAGGATTAAACAAGACCTCATATTCAGTAACTGATAGCTGTTTTCCTTCTTTATTGAGGGAGATAATTTCCCATGATCCCACTTCACTTCTATCCACCCAAGTCAAATCTCATTAACATTAAAGGACAAAAGCCTTCAATATTCGATTGATTGGGATTGAATGAAAGCCCAGGTTTTGCTTAGAGAGTAGAAAGAAAGGCCTTTTGGAATTGCTGACATGCATAAAAATAATGTCATTGAATACTTATCAGATTAATACTTAAAATAACCCCTATATTTTCTGGTAAAGATACGGTTCGCCTCTTATAATGAGTAGAACTCTATATATAATGATTTATGTTCTAAAATTATTAAAAAACACTTTATTAAGTGTCTTAGACACCTTCTCCAACTATATTTAGCATTAACTGAGCAAACTTTTTAGATCATTCTACTCCTTAAGACTGATAAGGTAAAATTGAATCCAACCCCCATCAATACCAATAGGAAGAGCTAAAACCTATTGGCCCCTTACACCGTGCCTCGTCACGCTCCAGTGTAAGTAATTGTCACAGCGCACCTTACTGTCTTCATTTTTCAAATGAGGAAAATGGAGGCTCGGGGAAGACAAAATACTAGGCTAAGGTCGCAAGCTTCTAAGTGACAAAGGAAAGAAAGAAAGGAAAGTGAAGTCGCTTAGTCGTGTCCGACTCTTTGCGACCCCATGGACAGTAGCCTGCCCCAGGCTCCTCCGTCCATGGGATTTTCTAAGCAAGAGTACTGGAGTGGGTTGCCATTTCCTTCTCCAGGGGATCCTCCCGACCCAGGGATCAAACCCAGGTCTCCCGCATTGTAGACAGACACTTTCCCGTCTGAGCCCCCAGGGAAGTAGATACAAGTGACAAAACCGGGAGTCAAATCCAGACTCCATGGCCATTCAGGCACACTGGCTTTTCTCAACAGTGAGCTCAAATGCTGAGGCAACCTCGACCAGAGGAGTCAAAATTAATGGGTCAATGCATCATGAATGTTGTTCACACAAGATGATACAGATTCGTTGCCCAGAATGAGGCCGCTTACATTGTAAAGGACTCTACTTATCACACATATTCCTTCAAGGGAAGGCCCCTGGCAGTATCTGTGTTGGTATCTGTAGCTGATGATGGTGAGAAAGATTCCAGCCACCGCGACCACGCAACTGATGAGATTCAGGCTCGTGATACCTCGTCCCTGGAAAATAGTGTAAAAAATAACAACAAAATAAATAAACACTTTGAAGGAATTTCCTCGTGCTTTTATTTTTCCAGATACCCCTCAGGGAGGACTTGCTCCATCACTATCCTGAATTCATCAAAGTCATAAGCCAGACCAAGTTTTAGAATAAGCCGGGGAGCTAAGGAAGCAATCTGGTTAGCAGGGGCGCTCTGTAGTTGTGTGTATATTCAACTGGGTCCGACTCTTTGCAACCCCGTGGACTGTAGCCCACCAGACTCCTCTGTCCATGGGATTTTTCCAGGCAAGGTTACTGGAATGGGTTGCTCTTTCCTACTCCAGGGCATCTTCCCGACCCAGGGATTGAACCTGCATCTCTGTGTCTCCTGCAGTGGCAGGCAGATTCTTCACCACTGTGCCATCTAGGAAGCCCCTGGGGTGCTCTGTGGTTAATGCTAAAGAAAACATTCTTTTTATCCTAATGTGTCATCTTTCATAATCTATAAGCAAAATTGTGTGTTAGAGAGAATATTGGCCTTATAATTAGAACTGATTTTTCAGTCCTAGCGAACTAGGACCCGATACACATCAACAAATCTCTTGTAATTTCCACTTCTGCTTTTACAAGTGAGAGTGGTGTCACCCAACTTTAGGGCATATCTGCTTGTTTATTTAATAAATATTTCATGTGGGTCAGCTACGTGTCAGGTGCTGCATTAAGCCCATGAGACACAAAAGTAAACACGAAAGATGAGGTCCTGCCTTCCTGTGGCTTACATCACCCCCTAGAGGAGTCAAACCATAAGAACCAAATCAATAATGTATTTACAGATGGCAATGAATCTGGACTGAGATTTAATGGTTTCCTTCCTTTTGCTCTCACTTTTCGAAACTGCAAGCTATTAAAAGTTCAGATAGCCCCACCAATTTCCTATTCCCTTTACTTCCTATTTTTTTTGAAATTTCATTTTGTTTAGTTATATAACTCTTGAGTTCCTTTGAAGGAAGAGAGATGTCATTCATTACCAACCCCAGCATGGATATTCCTCTTTTAAAAGAAAAACAAAGAAAAGTCTCATATCTCATTTCCGTGGGTGATTACTATACTTGATTGTGTTACATCTGTTGGGGTGGGAAGTGCAGTGATACATTTATACATTTACACACCCTATCCTATCCAGGAGGACTTGTGACTCTGTGGTGTAACTTGGAAGTACACCTATGATTTTAATGTTTGCCCCAAACACAGATCTTTTTCTGCCAACAGGAATTTTGGCAGAAAATACCCAGGGGCACATGGATACACCATCTCGTTCAGTCCTCAGTCTTTTGGTCCCTTCAAGGCTCTGTTTTGGCTCCCAGAGGACGTTTCATGGACTAACATCTCTGACTCAACAGCTCCTCAGGTATATTCTGCTTTACAGTTTACGGCGAGGGTGCACAGCCTTGGTCTCCTCTCACCCTCATGACAGTTTTTACGAGGCAGGCAAACCCCCGCTAGTCCCCACGTCACAGAGGAGTAGGATTCAGGGACCAGGTGATTGCGAATTCGGAGGAAGAGCTCTGATGGAGCCAGATCCCACGCTGCCCAGGTTAGCACTGCTGTCCCCGTGACGTAACGGTCTGCCTCTATCTCCGTGAGCCGTGGGTAGGTCTGCCTTATCCTTGGTATGTTCCTCAGATCCAAAAGGAAGTCAGTGCAGAGAAGAAAGACAGCTGAGGCTCCCTCTGCATCGTCCATGTGTATTTCCACGGGTAGAGGGAGACGGAGGCCTTCGTCCCATGTGTATTTCCAGGGGTAGAGGGAGACGGAGGCCTTCGTCCCCGCTAGAACTCCCCTGTGGTTTGTTGCTATGTCTGGAGGATATTGGCAGAGGGCCATAAAGAAAGAGTCAAAATGGCTTTGAGAGAATGCCTGCTTCTCCAGGGCCTTAAAAAAATCAGACTGGTTAGAAGGGCATGTCGACATTTAACTATCATTTTGTCTTATATGTGGTATTTTATTAAATCTTCAAAGTAATCCTTCAAATTTGACACAGCGATGAGTGGTGGCCTGGATTCAGCCCTGGAATAATCCAGCATCAGTGCCAGACTCTTCCCTGCAGACTTTGGGCAGACCCCAAAGAGAAGACTGTCGTTGTTGGGGTGTGTGTGTGTGTGTGTGTGTGTGTGTACGCACACGTGCTCAGTCACTCAGTTCTGTCTCACTCTTTTGTGACCCCGTGGACTGCCTGCGAGGCTCCTCTGTCCATGGGTTCTGCAGGCAAGAGTACTGGAGCGGGTTGCCATTTCCTCCTCCAGGGGATCTTCCCGACCCACGGCTCTAACCCACATCCCCTGCACTGGCAGGCGATTCTTTACCACCGTGCCACCTGGGGAGCCCGTTGTTGGGGTGCGGGGTAATAACTGGGATCCTGGGATTGATGTTGGTTATAGTAGGGTTTATACACCTTGACACAATAAAGATTTGGATACAGTTTTTTGTTTTCTTTTACTATTGTTCATATTTTAAAATGTTTAGAAACATCCCTGGTCTCTACCCACTAGATAACAACAGTACTCCTCACCCCACCACCCCCCGGTTTGGCAATCAAAAATGTCTTCAGCATGGGGCTTCCCCAGTGGTCCAGTGGCTAAGCCTCCGCGCTTCCCCGCGCTTCCACTGCAGGGGCTGTGGGTTCCATCCCTGGTCAGGAACTAAGATCCTGCATGCTGCGCTTGGCAGCCAGGAAAAAAAAAATAGTGTCTTCAGGCTTTGTCTAATACCTCTGGGGGCAGAGCTGGGGGAGGCACAAAATGACTCCCAGTTAAGCACTGTTGAGTTAGAGGAATGTAAAAATGGTCTTTAATAAGCAGCTCCTTTGGTTGATTTGACCAAGGCAGTGGCATCCAGTGGAAGGCTACAGGGCTCATGCTGACTGCCAAATAGCAGTGACCCGAACTGCTCATTTGAAGGGCAGAGATTTTCCTGGAAGGTCCTTTATTACTCAAGGCTTTCCACCCAAAGATGGTCTAAAAGAAGTAGACAGTTTTAAACCGCACAGAAGTGACAAAGTGACTTACCATACACTTGTCATTACTGTTGGCTCCTGTGAGGTACCCTGTAATAGTAAACTGTTAGGGAGAAAAGAGAGAAAGGTCAACAGGTGATGGTGTGTTTGACTGCCCTACAGTATGACTTCCTTTGGAGAGTACACCATAACCGACATGTCTGTGACCCTCCCAGGCCCTTCCGTATCTGGTGTCTCCCATCAGGGAAGGACAGTGGGCGCTGACTTAAGAGGAAATCCCGTGCTGGCCGTGCTCGGCATCAGCAAGGGCTCTTTGCCAGCGTCAGGTGGGTGAGGCAGGTGCTGCTTTAAGGCCCGAAAGGTACCACCCCGCTGGGCTCCAAAAGAAAGACAGTCTTGGGCGCTGGGCCAGGAATAGTGAAGGCAGCTCTGTCTGCTCGGAATTAAGTACAGGGCCTGGAATCTAGTGTTATCTGACCCAGTCATTTATATGCAACAAAGAGCCTAGCTGTTGTTTAGTCGCTCAGTTGTGTCCAACTCTTTGCGACCCCATGGACTGTAGCCTGCCANTGTTGTTTAGTCGCTCAGTTGTGTCCGACTCTTTGCGACCCCATGGACTGTAGCCTGCCAGGCTCCTCTCTCCATGGCACTCTCCAGGCCAGAATATTGGGTGGGTTGCATTTCCTTCTCCAGGGGCTCTTCCCAACCCAGGGATTGGACACACATCTCTTGGAGAAGAAGGCATCAGAGGATGAGATGGCTGGATGGCATCACCAATGCAATGGATTTGAACTTGGGAAAACTGCAGGAGATAGTGAGGGACAGAGAGGCCCGGCATGCTGCAGTCCACGGGGTCACAGAGAGTCGGACACGACTGGGCGGCTGAACAACAAGTTCCGCATTGCAGGTGGATTCTTAACCACTGAGCTCCCAGGAAGCCCAGAGAGCTTAGTACCACACAGGAAAAACGAGACCCCTGTCCCCCAAGGTGGAGTCCATATTTTTTTTAATGTTCCAATAATGAGAACCTCTGTGATGGGAATTGGTTTTCCACTTTGGGGATATTGGGCCTTGGAGTCAAGGACCTTGAGAAGACATGTAGGATCAGAATGTTACCTCTGATACCTCCTTCAGCTTCACCTCCCACCTTGGGTCACCATCAGGCTCGTTCTACTTCCAGGTCACTCTCGAAGCTGGCCACCTTCATCTTTGCTGCTGCCCTCTGGAGAGTTCAAGGTACCACCTCTCCATTCCTGGAATCCTGCAGCCTCCCCACCTCCGATTCTCCCAGATCTGCTCTTAGCATCCTTGGGTTCATTACCCACTCAGGGGGCGTAATATTTTAGAGATAACAAGTCTTCAGATCTTACCAGCCTTGCTCTAGTATTAAAGCTCCACATTCTTTTTACAGCCACAAGGGTTGGAATGACCTGGTTCCAGTCTACATTTTTGGCCTCATTTTATGCCACTGCAACAGACTCATTGGTCTTCTTCCTGCTGCTCTTCCCCACATCAAGGCCTCAGCTCATGTTTCACTGTTGCCGAGAGTGAACTTTCTTTCTACTTTACGCAGTGAACACCCGTGTGCAAAGCACTTCCCTGACCTCCCAGCACAGGTGAGTTTTCTGTTAAATCTTCACCTGATATCTGGAACGCCTCCGTGTGCATAGCACAAGTGTAATAACATACCTGTGGAGTTACTCTCACTTTTTCATTTATAACCTGCCTATTAGATGCCAAACCCTGTCTATTTCTAAGAGCAGTGCATCACTTCTCTCAAAGAGGGCCTTGTCTACCTGTGCCCTGAGCACCTAGGACCCTTCTGCACATGTAGTATGGGTACTCAGTAAATATCTTTTCAGTGAAGAGTGGAGCTTTAAAAAGTAATGTGCCAGACCCTCACTGTCATTAGCGCACGCCGATCACACAGTGTCCTACTGGGAATGTCCTCTCCTGATGGGGGGAGTGAGGAGTGGTCTGTTTGGTTTTCTGTATGTGCACTTTGAAGTCATGTTCTGTCTTGTGTTATTGGCATTTGGGAAACGAAACTGGCGGTACTGGTGGGTGTCTCAGAAAAGGTGTGAATATTTATGCTTACCAAAAGAGAACAGGGTTTAATAGAGACAGTTGTGTCATTTCTTCATTATTTCATCCACTTGTTCACTGAGCGATTCATTCATTCACACCTGCTATGCAGCAAGCGTGATTCTGAGGTCTGAGAATGTAACAACAATGATACAGACAACATTCTTGCCCTCTTGGGACTGCAGGTTTTAATGGCAGAAGCTCTAATGAGTCTACCCTTAAATATGATGGCGTAAGATTAGGAACCAAGGCTGTGGGGATTGAACAGATATAGCTCTGTACTAGGAATTATATTTATGATTCTTTTATTAATTGGATGAATGACATTCATAAAACTATCTCTGAGCATAATGAAGCAGTTGAACCATAATAATGTATTAAAATTCTCCTTAAGCTTTGAGAGGCTGTGATTGTGAGTGCTAGCCAGATAGGTTTAAATTTACTACCTACTCCCAAATTCCATTTTCTTATTTACAAAGGGAAAAGTAGGATATATACCCATCTAACCTCCCAGATTGGTAGTAAGGAGCAAATGACTTACTATACACATGAGGGCTGGAAAACTTTCCAACATTGCACACCTAAGAGCCGTTATCACCATGAGGATGGTGGTATTGCAGTGACCCAAATGGAATCCCTTCTTTTGCCATGGAGGGGATTGACTATCAAGGTGATAGGGTGGTCTATCAAGGGTCTGTCACCCCTATCAAGGGGTGGTCTCCTTGGGGACCACATGCATGGGATTCATTATCTCAGGACCGAAGTCAATTCAAACCAGCCTTTATGGTAACTCCTCCAAAGCTCCTAACAATACTCACAATAAATGCTCCCCAAAATGGATATCCTGTCAAGAAAACCAGGGGGAATCTTTGGGCGAAGTTGAAGTAATTGAACGCAAATATAGCTCCGATGCCGGCAGTGGTCAGGGCAAGCAGGACCTGGGCAGCCTGTGAAGAGAAGAATGGGCCGGTGAGGCGCGGCCCGGGCTCTCTCGAGCCTCCCAGGCGCATAGGCATCGCCCCTAGAACGTCGCCCCCGCTGCCTGCTGCCTTCGCCTCCTGTTCACCGACCTCTCGGGTTTCCAGGAGGCCCAGCGGCCCTCCTGCCCTCGCTCACCGGTGTCCGTGTCCGAAGCCTCCACGCCCGCCCTTCCTGCTGGCAGTCTCTGGGGTTATCAGGCCGTCTCGCATCTCACGGTCTGAGCACGTGTCTGGCTCTCGCCCTGGGCCTGCGGCCCCGCCTTCTCGGCACCAGGGACCGGGTTCGTGGAAGACAGCTCTTCGCAGACGGGAGGGCTGGGGAGGACGGCTGGGGGATGCTTCTCCAAAGAGGCGCGAAACCTCGATCCCTCACAGGCGCGGTTCACAGCCGCCCTCGCGCTCTGACCTGACAGGTGATGCCGAGCCGCGAAGGCTGCTGGAAACACCGGGGAAGCCTCGCCCGCCCGCCCGGGCCTCACCGCCTGCTCTGCCGGCCGTCCCTCGCGGACCATGGGCTGCTACCGACCCCTGCCCTAGACGGCAAGCTTCTCGGGGACGCCGATTCCAAACTACTCACCCTGACACTCTTTCCCCTTCTGTAGAACCAGCCTCCTGTTCCCATCCTCACCCCAACACACACACACATTTTCCACATTAAGTATAGCCTTTGAGAATTATGGCAACCACTCCAGTACTCTTGCCTGGAAAATCCCATGGACGGAGGAGCCTGGTGGGCTATATTCCATGGGGTCGCAAGCAGTGGGACCGACTGAGCGACTTCACTTTCACTTTCTTTTCTTTCTGTTTTGAGAATTACAGCCTCAGTCCCCGTTCTGAACGTTTATGAAGTTCCCTGAGCTGGAGCAGAGAAGTTGGGGTGAGGTTATGTCCCACCTCTTGATGCGAAGGCCTGTCCAGAGCGGAGAGTGACCCCATGGGCCCCTCAGCCCGTTAGGGTTAGGGAGAGGGGAGCGAGGTGGTCCTGGGGGCCCGGGGCTTTCCTCAGCGCCGAGCGTCTCCACTTCCCTTCTGGCGTCTGGGTTCCCCCAGGCCACACCTCTGGGGCCTGGGTCACAACTGTCCCCGGAGTGTTCGGATTCTCGTACTGAGGATGGAGGCTGTGCACACAGCTTTACTCTAGTCTATTTATGACAGATTGTGTGTGTGTGTCAACACTGCAGTTCCCTATGAGCTTTGAGGGTGGTTTGCAAAGAGCTCCCAATGCCTGTAACAACACAAAGGCGATGTTTAACTTCACCTCTAAAGGCTTTTAGCTCCAAGAGAGGTGCTCCCACAGCCCAAGGTCGCTTCTTTAATAAGATATTTAGAAAAGTGGCACGGGTTTCCTCCATCCCCCTTGCTGGGAATCAAAGACGACCACTAGGCCCTCCCGAAACAGGCCAGGGATTAGTGCTTTGACTCGTGACAGTTGAACGTTCTATTTCTCAGAGTTAAATAAGCCCTCAGAAGCATTTCTGAGACATGAGCAAACCCTGCATGTTTCTAAACAGAACTTTATTTCCCTCGTTGGTCAAAACGTAGGGACGTTTTGTGACAACCTAGAGGAGTGGGAGGGGGTAGGAGGTGGGAGGGGGCTTCAGGAGGGAGGGGACATATGTGCACATACGGCTGATTTGTGTTGATGTACGGCAGTGAAAGTGAAAGTCGTGCAGTCCTGTCCGACTCTTTCCAACCCCATAGACTATACACGCCATGGAATTCTCCAGGCCAGAATACTGGAGTGGGGAGCCTTTCCCTTCTCCAGGGGGATCCTCCCAACCCAGGAATCAAACCCCGGTCTTCTGCATTGCAGGATGGATGGCAGAGGTTGGCACAATATTGTAAAGCAATTATCTTTCAGTTAAAAATAAATAAATACTTTGTGAGATGTAGGGAAATGGTCTTGTAGGCTACGTGTTGGCTCCTCTACTGAATATCCAATTATATGTACACGCTCATGACTTAGAAGGCTGCAGGGACTGCCCTGGTAGTTCAGTGGCCAAGAATCTGCCTTGCAATGCAGGGGACGCAGGTCCAGTCCCTGGTCAGGGAATGGAGATCCCACATGCTGAGGAGCAACGAAGCCCACAGGCCACAACTACCGAGCCTATGAGCCGTGACTAAAGAGTCTGTGCACCACAACAGAGATCTGCCTGCCAAAACTAAGACCCAAGGCAGCCAGATGGCAACGAATAAATGAACAAATACACAGGATATCTCTTTTTAAAAAGAGTATAAAAAGAAGGATGCATTTTAGATGACAGATGAGGGAAAACTGGGGGGATCAATGTCTTTTCTGAAAAAGCATCTCTGCAAACATACTTGGAGAAATAACTTATGGTCTCCTTTCCAGGAAGACCCATGAGTGGGAGAGGACTTACCCCCAAGACTTTTGGGTCTCCCTTCAGAAATTCCAGCAGAGAACTGTGAGGCTCATAGGGAAGCGCAGTCAATACAGTCTCATTTGCTTGTACACTGATGACGTGGGTTGATCTTTTGACCTCAGATGATGATTCCATGATTCAATGGCAAAACTCTACGAAGAAAAATGGGTGAGTAAACATTGCAGCCAAAATCATGGTCTGCCATCAGTCACACAAGGAGTCCTCGGCAATGAGCCCTTAGCGATTGCTCAGCGCCGGAACCACAGAATCACAGTCATCGAGTCACAGAGTCCTAGAATTCTAGAGCATCTTCTTCTGTCTTCCTGGTGAAGGATCCAGTTATCTGGAAGACTTGCTTTCTTGTCCACTTGTTTGTAAATAGAGGGTCAACACAAAATAAATACGTGGTGTACCAACAAGTCCCAGTGCCTATGTTCATGAGCTCGAAAGGAACTAAATGATGAAATATCCACAAGGTTCCTGGCACTGTGGAAGGTGTTTTGTTTTGACATGTATTCACATTGATTCTTTTAACATTTCTACCATACTGAAAATGAGGGACAGAAAGGTTAAATGGTTCAAGGGCACATACCAAGGGACGGGAAAGGACACAGACTCTGCCTGTCTGTCTCTAAAATCTGCGGCAACCATGCTGCCGCCCTCTTTCAGAAGGAGTTTCCCACTTGTAGTTGACTAATTGTTTCACTACTGTTTAGCCATATTTCTTTCTAACGTAAAAACCAGTACATAAAATTATTGGACCAGATGTAGTTGCCACTTTCATAGAGTGTAATTTTAGCTTTCAAAAAGACAGGTAAGATGAAGTCAGAGTCTTCCTGGTTTAAGCTATGCAAATGCAATTAAAACAATATAAAATTCCATATGGAATTTTGCTTTCCATGTTGTGTGTGTGTGTGTGCATGCACGTGTGTGTGAAAGTCTCAGTCGTGTCCGACTCTTTGCAACCCCATGGACTGTAGCCTTTCAGGCTCCTCTGTCCGTGGAATTCTCCAGACCAGAATACTGGAGTGGGTAGCCATTCCCTTCTCCAGGGGATCTTCCCCACCCAGGGATCTAAACCAGGTCTCCTGTATTGCGGCGGATTCTTTACCATCTGAGCCACCAGGGAAGCCCAACATAGGGCTGTTGTGAGAATTAAATGAGATAATCTGCACAGCACATTCTTGTAAGTGTTGGTATTATCACCACTGTAGTGAAGAGCAGGTGGATTGTCGGGGAGAAAGGGTGAATGAATCTAGTGCTATGCTTAGTTGCTCAGCCGTGTCCAGCTCTTTGCGACCCCATGGACTGTAGCCCTCCAAGCTCCTCTGTCCATGGAGATTCTCCCGGCAAGAATACTGAGGTGGGTTGCCATGCCCTCCACCAGGGGATCTTCCCAACCCAGGGATCGAACCCAGGTTTCCCGCATTGCAGTCAGATTCTTTACCATCCAAGGCACCAGGGAAGCCTTAAAATGTTTATTCATTTACTTACTTTATTTTTGGCTGTGCTGGGTCTTCACTGCCGCACCGTCTTTTCTCTGTTGTGATGAATAGGAGTTCTCTGTAGTTGCGGTGAATGGGCTTCTCATTGCAGTGCGTCTCTTCTTGTGGAGCACCAGCTCTAGGGCGAACAGGCTCAGTAGTTGAGGCTGTTGGGCTCTAGGGCGAACAGGCTCAGTAGCTGAGGCTGTTGGGCTCTAGGGCGAACAGGCTCAGTAGTTTCGGTGCATGGGCTTAGTTGCTCCACGTGGCCGGTGGGATCTTCCTGGATCAGGGATTGAACTCTTGTCTCCTGCATTGGCAGGTGGATTCTTTACCACTGAGTCACCACCAAAGCCCTGTTTTCCACGTTAATCCTTGGTATTCTTATATTTGTCGTGATTTTAACAATTAAACCATAAAGCAAATAGTTTCACAAAATCTCCCATAATGTTCAAATATTATCTTGAGTATTTCCTAGTTTGTGGCAACCAGATATAGCAGGGTTTCTTAACCTTGGCATTGCTGGCATTTGGGGCCTGAAGATTCTTTGCTATAGAAAGTTGTTCTGTGCATGGTAGCATCTCCCAGGGCTGGAGATTAGAGGATGCCTTCAGCTCCTTGCCTTCTCAGTGAGGCTGCTAACTTGCTTCATCAGACCAGCAAGGAGACTCTCACCAGAGTTGGCTAAGATCAGAAGGATCAGAGAATTTGTGATAAGGATCTGAGTACATGTGACTCAACCAGTAATTTAGGATTAAGTTTCTGAGGAAGCTGCATTTTTTTAAAAATCATGATTGAGAACTTGGTCTTCTAGTATGTATGATAAATGTCCGCAGTGTCTTCTTGGGCTTGGTTGAAACCTTTCACACCTCTTCTTGCTGTGAGTTTATTAGACCTTCTTGTTAGTGATTCTTGCTAATTGATTTCCCAAACTGAATATGATTATGAGGCAAAAAGTAAGGAGTCAAAGAAAGACTCCCAAATTTCTGACTTTAGAAACTGAGTGGATGGTCACTCCAGTTTTGAAAGACAACCAGACTAGGGGTAAGGGGTTGGATGAGTTAGAAATGAAAGGTGAAATGTCCTTACCAATCGTCCCATCAGTTTGCAATATTATCCTAGATAATGCTGAATATAATCCTCTAGACAGTCTGAAGAAACTTTCTATTAACAGTAAAAAGTAAGCAAATAAGTAATAGATCTTGGATAACATATAATTTTATTGCATTGCTTGGCTTATTGGGTAAAAAGAAATCTCAAGGTTTCTCCAGTCCCAATGTAAAATATTCACACACACACACACACACACACACACACACTTGAAAACAGTCAAGTAGGGAGTAGGAAGTGAGTACTCTACTGTAGTTAACAGACTAGTGAGAATACATGTACAATTAACAAACAAATAAAATCCATAGTAAGTCAGCTGGTGGTAAGTGCTGTGGAGAAAAAGCAAGCAAATGAAGGCAGGAAGAGGGATATAATTTTATGTAGATTGGTGGGGGGAAGTTTCATTGAGAGTGAGTGGTTTGAAGAAAGACCTGAAAGAGGTAAGAAAGCAAGCAACGTAAATGATTGTAAGAAAAGCATTCCAAATCAAGGTGCCTGCAAATGTAAAGTTCCTGAAGAAAGAATATGCCACGAGACAGCAAAAGCCCACGTCAGTAGCATAGCGAGCAGGGAGGCGAGTAATCAGAGAGGTGGGAGAGGAAGTGAGAACCCAGATACTAAGGGCATCTAAGGATGCTGGCTTCTATTTTTAATGAAATGCAGTTGGTTTGAGCAGAGGAATGACATGACCTGATATTACATTTACAAACAACCGCACCATCTGCTATGTGGTGTGGGTGCCCACTTGGTTTATCACTGTGATAATGCCAGTGCAAAATGATGCATGCTCATGAAATGGTGAGAAGCAACCAGACTCTGGATGTTTTGAAGCAGGGCCTAGAAGTTTTTAATGATAGGTTAAATATGGTGAAGTGGAAGAAATTAAAGAGTCAAGGAAGACTCCAGGGTTTTTGGAAGACAGTTTTTTTTTTTTATGAATCTGACCATGGAGAAGAGGTGAGTGATGGCTCAATAACTAAACTGGCACAAGAGCTCAAAAGTAACTTTTGAAAAAAAGTTTTTTTTTAAACTGTTACCTGCAAACAAGAGCACACAAATCATATAGGCAGAGTACTAGTATCCAGATCAAGAAAAAGAGTATCCGCAGGAATGCATAGGCCCTCTGGGTCCCCTTCCAATTATTAACTGCAAGGTAACCACTATCCTAACACTCTGAACTAGTTGTGTTTGTATTTAAACTGTATAAGGGAGTCATACACTGTGGATTCATCTGCATGGCATGTAATTGTTTTCTCACTTGTGTCATTGGTAGATCATTGGTTGGTCATTGGTGTATCATTGGTGTATCATTGGTAGATCATTGGTGTATCATTGGTGTATCATTGGTAGATCATTGGTGTATCATTGGTAGATCATTGGTCGGTCATTGGTGTATCATTGGTCGGTCAGTGGTGTATCATTGGTGTATCATTGGTAGATCATTGGTGTATCATTGGTAGATCATTTGTTGGTCATTGGTGTATCATTGGTCGACCATTGGTGTGTCATTGATGTACCATTGTTTGTGTATGTAAGTCACTCGGTTCTGTCCTTTGTGACCCCTGGGACTGCAGCCCGCCAGGCTCCTCTGTCCGTGGGATTCTCCAGGCAAGAACACTGGAGTGGGGTGCCATGCCCTCCTCCAGGGGATCTTCCTGACCCAGGACCTGCACCCGGGTCTCCTGCATTGCAAGCAGAGTCTTTACCATCTGAGCCACAGGGAAGCCCACCCATTGTTTGACTACACCGCAGTTTTTATTTGTCTCTCCTACTCTTTGGCATTTGAATAGTTTCCTCTGGAGGGCTACGGTGTGTATCACTTCTGTGACCGCCTCTCTACATGTCATCTGGAAAGCGTCCTGTGAGTTTCTGTTGCACATTCCCCTCTAGGATAAGGCCTAAGGCCTAGAGCAGGGGACAACATTAGGAACCTCGTTATTGGGTAGTTCACATTGTTCACTGCAGTACAGTAACAAAGTTAATTATATTTCTATATGTCTAGTTTCTTGCTTGGTCTAGAACTTAGATGGGAGAGAGCCTTGTGGTTAATTATGATCTTTGAGTTTAGATATTTAAGAATAAAGTCGTTAAATGAGACAGGGTTCAGAGACATATTTAATTGACACAAATAGAGCCATATTATTTTAGAAGTACTTTTTAATTGAAATGTTCTTGGAATCTCTGATGTTTAAAATTTAAGCAATGTGAGTATGAAAACACTACAGAAGCAGGGCCTACAAAGCCACATGACTCAGCCAGTCCACACTAGCTCAAGATCACACATTTCCTCTTCTTTTTATTTTATTGTTTATTGGAGTTTAGTTGCTTTGCCACATTATGTTAGTCTCTGCTGTTTGGCCACACAGCAGAGTGAGTCAGCCATCCATGTACGTGCGCTCCCTCTCTGCCACCCCAGAGCGTTGAGTAGAGTCCCTGTGTTATGCAGCAGGTTCTTACTAGATATCTGTTTCATCCGTCTTAATGTGCATATGTCAGCTCCAGTCCCCCAGTCCTTCTTATTCGTGACCGGATGAATGCAGGGCTAGAGTAGACCTTTTCCACCAAAAGACAGAAGCATATGCAGCTGCTAAGAGCTCCAGCACCGTGAAGGTAAGCATCACCACCAGGACACCCTGTAAATCAACACAGGAATGGTTGGTGCCCCAACTCTTGTTCAGTAGACAAGACTGCGAGTGAAGACTCTAATAGTGGCGAGAAGAAGAGACAGTGAGGACCATGTCCTCCTCTTTCCTGCTTTTTCTTTCGGATCTCTGAACCAAAGCAGGGAAATGAATAGCAAGGATTTCCACTCAAGATTTCGGCATTCCACATTCAGAGGTGAGAGTCATCCTTCATTTACCTGTGTGTGTGTGAAAGTCGCTCAGGTGTGTTCGACTCCTGGCGACCCCATGCAATCCATGGAATTCTCCAGGCCAGAATACTGGAGTGGGGAGCTATTCCCTTCTGCAGGGGATCTTCCCAACCCAGGGATCGAACCCAGGTCTCCCACGTTGCAGCAGATTCTTCACCAGCTGACCACCAGGGAGGTCGCTCATTTACCTATAGTTGCTCCTATTATTTTCTTTTTTTTCTTGGGTGCTTTGATTGCCATGCTGTTTCTGGGTGTGGGCTTGTTTTTATTCATCCTGCAACAATCTCAGTGCAGTCCTTCAGTCTGAAATCTCATATCTTTCTTACATTCTGCAAAATTCTTACTTATTTCTCTTGCATCCTCCCTGTCTACCTCGCTGTCCCACTGGAGCTCATATGAGATGTGTTGAACGTTCTCCCTTCACTGTCTTCCGTGTCTTTTAACTTCTTATTGATATTTTCTAAATTTTTATCTTAGTGTATTGTGTTCTATGTGGTTTAATCAGACCTATATGTTGTAGCTCCTATTTAACTGATGCTAAGTTATTAATTTCAAATATTGTAATTTTCATTTCTAATCATACTATTTGGCTCTTTTTCAAATCCACTTTTTGTTGTTGTTCATTGCCATATTCTTTCATTTTGGTTTTAATTCCTTTTTTAATATCTTTAATCATTTAAAATGTAGTTTCATTATAGCATTTTTTCAAATTATGATGTAATCTCCAACTCTCAGGTAACTAAATTTCATATTTGTCCCATTCTCTGCTATCCCTCATTTTTTCCCTTATGTTTTTCAAAATATTTTCATTCTTAGATAACTTCAGTGTGTGGGTGGTGATGGTTGGAGGGTTCTTTGGTATGTGGGAGACTCATAATTTGGACTTCTGGACATCTCTGTTGATGGAGAAGACTCTCGAGAGTCCTCTAGATTGCAAAGAGTCCATCCTAAAGGAAATCAAGCCTGAACATTCACTGGAAGGACTGTTGTTGAAGCTAAAGCTCCAATAGTTTGGCTACCTGATGCAAAGAACGGACTCGCTGGAAAAGACCCTGCTGCTGGGAAAGATTGACAGCACAAGGAGAAGGGGGCAGAGCGTGAGGCGCTTAGATGGCATCACTGACCCCAGGAGAGCGTGGAGAACAGAGGAGCCTGGCGTGCTGCAGTCCACGAGCCTGCAAAGAGCTGGACATGCGTCAGCGACTGAACAGCAGTAACTCTTGATGGGAGTTGGGTTTGATTCTGATAGTACCTTAGGAGTTTCACAGATCCAGGGACAATTTTAAGCTAGTCATTTTATTCAAGGTTCCTCTATTTTATATGTAATTTTGGACTTGGGTACCCTACCTGCTGAAGGCTTGGTGAGATGATTTCATCCTATAAACCTTTATGGAGGAGTTTCTGGAAGCTTCTTGAAATGCAGGACAGAGTTTTGTTCCTTATCTTATTTCTTAAATAGGCTAAATATTTAGTCTCAGCTCCTAACATTTTGCCGGGCACTCAGTGTGAGCTTCCTGCATCCAGTGTGCCTAAAGAACCTCAAACCCTATCATGGGAATTAAAATTCCATGAGCCCAGCCTCCAACACCTATGTTCCTGTCCTGGCCGCCGTGGTCTTCTGATTTCTGCTCCGGCTTTAATCTCCTTCTTAGTGTCTAGGATGTAAGATGACCTTTCTGCCACCCTTCCTTCTTTCCTTCTTCCATCTCTCAACATGTATTTTTAACTTTAAATTTGTTACTTTCCCCAGGTAATCTTTATGTTAATAAAGAAAGAGTGGACCTTTGAAGTCTGCCCAGTCTGCAGAGTTGCAGCTTCTCTGATGTTGCAGGAAGTTCTCTTTGGCTCTAGTTACCTGAGAGTGGGAGGCAGTTTGAGCTGAGTTTTCGCTGAATTAAGCTCTGATTTCCGGAGGCGGGAAGAACACTTCTCCCATTCTCCATGCTTTGCCTGACCTCTCCCCTGCACCAGGGTGCTACTATCTGCTGGACTTCCTCAAGCTGACTTCCAACCAGATGAGTCTCCGTGCCCTTCCACTTCCTAAAGCTCCTGGATCAAAGCAGATGCTTTTGGCAACCTCTGGGTCCCACAGGCAACCTCACAGAAGGCTGTGAGTTCAGAAGTGCGCACACATTCTCTGCGGTTCAAGAGACAGATCCAAGGGAATGAGAGAGGTTGCCCTTGTTTCCTCAGCTCAGACAAGGAGGCGTCACAAAGGGAGGGATCTTTCTCCTTAAAGGGCCAGAGTTTATGCTTTCCAAACTCTGAGCCTGCGTGTAGAGGACTGACTAAGCCAAGACGGTCATAACCAACAGGTGGTGACCATCAAGTTTGGGGAGGAAAGTGGCAAAAAGATGGTGCCCAGGGATGCTGGCATTTCTGCTAAGAGTCAAATCCCTGGGTAGACCGTCCCTCATTGTCTGCAGCCCTGCTGGGCCAGTCTAGTAATTAGGTGCTTGGGCTTAAGGTTCAAGTTCCATACCAACTTACCATATGATGCATTAATCCCAAATCAAATCAAGTTCAAATCAAAAGGAAATGTTTCTGTCCATGTTGGGGGTGGTGGGAATGCCTGTTCAACAAAGGGGGCACTTTGAGGGCTAGAGCTATTGAGAATAGGGTATTTATTAATAAAGAAGGATGACCTAATGGATCACCACACACAGCGCTTCTCGATTCCCTGTTTTGACCTGGCACAGGGCTTCACCTGTATTTTGCAGCCTGCTGACCAACCTCTTTCAACCACACTCTTTTGTCTTTCCTGTAGTTGCTTCCAGACATTCAAACCAACCGGGCTGGAGGCTGCTGAAAAGTCAGAAATGTATGCAAAGCAGGGACACTGAGATTTCACATGACAGGAAGTGCAGTCCGAAACTACTTACTGTTAGACCGACACTGGTCAGGAGACAGTCCTTGACTTCATAAATCGAATAATAGTACCTCGAATAAGGCAGTGAGGCTAGGTAATCCCTTCCGGAGTCACACTGCCGAGAGGCCGTGCTCAGAGCTACCAGGCTGTTGGCAAGCAGGACGAGGCCCACTCCAGCAGTCACAGAGCTCACTGCACTGGAGAGGAGGCTGCTCGTGGCCTGGAAGAGAAACTCTGCATTGGGACCTCATCTCGGACGCAGCACGTGGCGCCGTTCACCCCCCTCCACGGCGCTGCAGTGGGACTTCCCTGCGTCTGTTTTCCTCCGACCTGTGTGCTCCCTGGGGACCCAGACTGTGTTTTGTTTTCCCTGTAGGCCCTTCTCACTACCTGGCTTGTCACCTGATATAATCAGTAAAAGTTTGTTGAATGAGAAAACGTATGAACAATTCTTTCTTAGAGGAAAAGGTCTGGCTCCTCGACTCTGCAGGGCCACCAAGATGGAGGAGGAGCTACTCAGGCAACTGCCAGGTCCCCTTGACTTCCTCAGCAGCTTTAGCATCACTCTTTTGCTCTAAGGGCTTCTGGAATATGGCCTTTGGTCCCTCCTGGGAGGCCCAGTCTATCACTCTCTTCCCACCAAGAAGCAGCTTCAGAGAAAAGGCAGAAACCAGCTGGAGAAGAAATACCCATCTGGAGGTGGATCAGACCACTGAGAACCACATCTGTCACACTATCTCCTGGGGCATATTCTACATCTTGGGGAAAAGGGCTTTCACGGGAAATGATTCCTCCACAAAGATGAGCCAGGCTTGGTGTCAGGCTCCCAGCACACGCTCTGTTCTTTTTTAACCTCACAGTGGGATATCGGCTGTTGGGGAGCACGGTTGCCCTGTCCTCTTATCTCTTGGCCCCGTAGCTGTAGGGCTTTGTGTGCTGAGTCCCTGAAGGGAGCACAGGCTGAACGGGCAGAGTCTTTGCCCAGAGTTGCCAAGCGCAGGAGCTGGAGCCCACATATCGTCTTGGGTCCCACATGTGGAGCCCACAGCATCTTAGGTCATCTCAGCTGTGGTTTGCCTTTTCAGTGAATTCAGGGCACTTGGGAAACCACCTCTGAGAGCCACATGTTTCTCTTCCACATTCTGTAGATGAGAAAACTGGGCTGGAGAAGGAAGGACCTCTTCGAAGCACACGGAAGTGTCAGCGACAGAGCTGGGATGGAAGTAAAGGTCTCCTGACCCCAGTTCCAGAGCTCTGACCCCACCCCATGCTGTGGACCCTTTAGCCCATTGGTTCTGGGGTTAAGACGTCCAGCTTCAAGCTTCAGGAGCTTATACCGGCCTCATACACCGTCTGATGTGCCCTCATCCATAGCTGACCAGACTGTGGGTCTTCCTGAGTCAGGATGTGGCTTCGCCCTCGCTCATCTTTGAGTCACACTATCTCCTGGGGCATATTCTACATCTTGGGGAAAAGGGCTTTCACGGGAAATGATTCCTCCACAAAGATGAGCCAGGCTTGGTGTCAGGCTCCCAGCACACGCTCTGTTCTTTTTTAACCTCACAGTGGGATATCGGCTGTTGGGGAGCACGGTTGCCCTGTCCTCTTATCTCTTGGCCCTGTAGCTGTAGGGCTTTGTGTGCTGAGTCCCTGAAGGGAGCACAGGCTGAACGGGCAGAGTCTTTGCCCAGAGTTGCCAAGTGCAGGAGCTGGAGCCCACATATCGTCTTGGGTCCCACATGTGGAGCCCACAGCATCTTAGGTCATCTCAGCTGTGGTTTGCCTTTTCAGTGAATTCAGGGCACTTGGGAAACCACCTCTGAGAGCCACATGTTTCTCTTCCACATTCTGTAGATGAGAAAACTGGGCTGGAGAAGGAAGGACCTCTTCGAAGCACACGGAAGTGTCAGCGACAGAGCTGGGATGGAAGTAAAGGTCTCCTGACCCCAGTTCCAGAGCTCTGACCCCACCCCATGCTGTGGACCCTTTAGCCCATTGGTTCTGGGGTTAAGACGTCCAGCTTCAAGCTTCAGGAGCTTATACCGGCCTCATACACCGTCTGATGTGCCCTCATCCATAGCTGACCAGACTGTGGGTCTTCCTGAGTCAGGATGTGGCTTCGCCCTCGCTCATCTTTGCGGGTGTGTGGCTGTGGGGAGGGGAGCTTGCTATGGCGAGGATCAAAGAGCTCAGCGCCTGCCTCCCCTCGCGCCCTCCTGACCTTGTCAGCAAAGCGGCTGCAGTCTGAGAGCTCTTTCTGAGGGGGTGGAGGAGATGGCCACAGGACCTAAGCCCACACAGCTCTGCCTCTAGAAAAGGATCTCCCTGTCCTAGGAAGGATCTCTAGGCTCTAACAAGACGGCCGTCTGTCCCCTTCAGGGCCAAGATAGCAAGTCGTAAAGAGCCCATGGCATATTCAAGATTTTCTACCATTTAAGCAAATGAGGTCAACCTCCTCCAAGCTTAGAATATGACACATTAGAACTATTTTGTAGGGCAAAGAGCACGCGTCTAGGAGGGAAGAGCCCAAATTCCCTCTGAAGAGTTAACTCCAAAGTTCCTTTTACTCCAGTCAGCTAAGAATCCATGGTTCTCATACTTACAAAAGGCTTACTTGGTTTTTTTCCAGAGATAATTGAGAGGGTTCCAGTAATGGCAAACTGCTCAGAAAAGAGAGAAATGATCAATTCAGTTGACTTAATTACAGAAATGTGACCACCACGTTACTCTCAGTCAATCAATGTGTGTGTGTGTGTGTGTGTGTGTGTACACACATGCTGAGTTACTCAGTCATGTCCAACTCTTTGTGACCCCATGGACTGTAACCTGCCAGGCTCATCTGCCCGTGGAACTTCCCAAGCAAGAATACTGGAGTGAGTTGCCATTTCCTTCTCCGGGGGATCTTCCTGACCAGGAATCAAACTCTCGTCTCTTGTATGTCCTGCACTGGCAGGCAGATTCTTTACCAGTGAGCCACCTGGGAAGCCCCAACTCAATCAATATATAATGTAAATTCACTGGGATCCATATGGAGAGAGATCCCTGATTTTCACCCCCAGGATGCCTCCATTGACTTTGAAGAATAGGCAAATGCACAGAGGAGCTGAATTTATGTTCGTGGAAATCACTGGGAGCTGGGAGGTCTGGGAAGGGGGCACACATGGACGGAGGAGAGTGTTGCTAGATTAGGAGGTAAGAAGAGAGAAGGCTGAGAAAGACCATGACTTGAGGGCTTGGAAGGATAGGAGCAGCCACCCAAAGCACGGAGGAGACAGGCTCTAATGCACAAAATGCGGAAACACACGGCCGTCAAGCCATTGGTGGCAATAACCTGAGTTAGGCTGGGAGTTGAGGAAAATGGAAAGGGTCAGATGTGAAGAGTCTTTTATGTGAAGAGTATTTTAAAGCCCCGTAAGTCCACATTTGATCCCAGTGGTATTAAGGGTTAAGTTGGTGGAGGGATAATGTTTTGAGAAGCTGAAACATGGGTTAAGCTGTGGTTTAAAGTTGGGATCGGGTGGTCACAGACAAAGACAGTCAAGCATGAGTTAATTCTAGCTTTCATTAGAGAATGCAGGAGCCCAGACTGTGAGTTAGATAGCGGAGTCAAGGACAAACAGTGCTCTGGGGGCAGAAGCAGGGCTCCCCCGGCCTCAATGCACGGTTTGTCCACATGAGGACTGTATCCATACAGAGGAGGCGCCGTGGTAAAAGTCTGTCTGCCCAGAACATGCCTTTTTCTCCTCTGTCAGGATGCCGCATGGAGAAGAAGTGGCCTCTTCTGGGAGATGTGGGGAGATCCTGGACAATCTCTAAGGAAAAGGATCTGCTGGGCCCTTTTCCATGAGCCACTACATGGAAGGCCTCAAAGAACTTTCTACCAGATGCTCAGGATTGCCTCTGACAATGTAGCAAGAGTGTCCCTGGTTCCCGTGAATCTCACCATTGTTAGTTTAATCCTCTGCAGATCTGTGGCATCTACCAGCAGTGCTCATTTTATTTAAGAAAAAATGAGCTTTTCACTTTCTGCTGACAGGTGGATTACTCTTAAATAAACTGGAGGGATTCCAATGGCCTCACCAAAGGGCCACAGAAGGATATGAAAGACCTTTCACTTTCTGGAAGTATGTCACGAAGCCAGGTAAGAAATGCTGTACTGGCATGCCCACTGTGTTACCATGTTGCCTCCTGTCCCAACCAGTCACTCCATGGGAGGCTGACACAGGATGGACTAAGTCCCTCTGCTGCTTTTCCTAAACTAGAGACACACGATGACGATGTGCAATAGTGACAGAGGGAAGGTGGGGGAACTCGGCCTTCTCCTGCTTCTTGGGGCTGAGTCATTCCATGACTTAGCACCCAGTCGGCGTTTATAAAGCATATCCCCTCTTGGAGACGGCAGTCTACTCACACACAGAGCTCCTAAAAATGGGAACCCAGACGTCAGAATGGTGGAAATCGCTGGGCTGAGCTGGGAAGAATTGGGAGCAGAAACCAAAATGACCCCCAAACTTGAAATCACCAGGAAACACAGGATCTGGATGGTCTGAAAGAAATAAGAGGGAAAACTGTAAAAACTTCCAGAGGACACTGTAAACAGATGAGAGCTATCATTGCACGCACATTGTGAATTCTAAAGAGTGCAGAATATACGTCATCATCTGTAATTAGAAAGGAGCGGGGGAGTGTTACAAGGTGCCAATAGGCATTCTATTAGAGAAAGTCATATGTAACTAACCTCTTTTACTTTTGATAGAATTATGAACCTAGCAAATCAGGGAGTGATATATGTATTTTTAACTTTCTTTTGCAAAAGGCAGTTCACAGGTTTCTGTTTGGTTTGGTTTTGTCTAGGGCAAATAGATAGGGAAAACTTTTCTAGACAATACTCCAGTTAGATGGCTATAGAAAGCAAATTTATTATGGGAATGTTAGTAAAGGGCTCAATTTCAATTGAAGTAAAGTAGAGCAGAAAGTCTTTAGTGCCATAATTAATCTTAGTCATCACTGGATTTTAATAATTATTAATACTTTTTAATGACACCAGTGGTGGTGATAATAGTCTGTATTTATTGAACACTTTCTACATTTTAGCTATTAATCTTGTCTCACTTATAGATAAGAAAAATAAGGCACCAGAATTAAAGTAACTTGTAAAAACCCATGCCAATGGCCAAATGGAAGAACTAGGTTTTTAGCCCTATTCATCTGATATTCAGCTTTACTCACTTTACGCACTGTTTAATATTTATTAAACACTGTTTTAAAACTCACTGTTTTCATATTTATTGACTATCCCAGACATCAGGGGAATAAAGCAAGTGAAAATCACTGTCACCAGATGTGTATTATGTCCTTTACTGATGAATTCCTTGGGGAGCAAAATGAGTTGAGAGCAAAGTATTAGGAAATGAGCCCTCAGAAGGACTGAGGGTGTGATGCAAGCTGTGCATGGCCTTGTAGGCTCTTTACCAACTTAGCCGTCATTCTTAGTAAAAAGGCAAGCCCACTGGACAATTTTGAGCAAGGATAGTGCATGATCCAATTCACATTTTTAAAAGATCATTCTGTCTGCTGAGTTGAGAGTAGATCGTAAGGGAACAGAGCAGGGGCATCTATAAAGAGGGTATTTCCATAATTCACATGTGAGATGATGCCAGCCTGGAGGAAGATGTGGATAACAAAGGTGGTGAGAAGTTCTGTCATTTGGTTCTAGATGTGCTGTGGAGATTAAACCTATGGGACTTGCCAACAGTGTGAATGTGGATTATGAAAGAGGGATGAAGGGTGCCTCCAAGGGTCTTGACTTGAGTATATGAAGTGATGGAGTCAAAACTGATTTAAAATTGGCAATACTGTATGAGGAGTGGGCTTGGGGCTGGAAGATCAGGATTTCAGCCTGGGGCAGACTAGGGAGAGGTGTTGAGTAGATATCCAAGTGGAGATGTACATAGGCTTTTGGATATGTGAGTCTTAAGTTGGGAGAAGAGATCCTGGCAACAGATATAGCCTTTTTGTTCCAAGTCGCAAGTGAAGATAATATTTAAATCCCTATTACCAGGTGAGTTCCCCATTGTAACAGATATGGAAAGAGTGGAGTCAAGGACTGAGCAGTGGAGAACCCCAAATTTAGAATCAGCAAAATAGAAACATAAAAGGCACAACCCAGGAGAAAGGAGGAAAACCGGAAGAATTGATGTCCAAGAATAGAAGGAAAATGAAAGTCGCTCACTTGTGTCTGCCTCTTGGTGACCCCATGGACTATATAGTCCACAGAATTCTCCAGGCCAGAATACTGGAGCAGGTAGCCTTTCCCTCCTCCGAGGGATCTTCCTGACCCAGGGATCAAACCCAGTTCTCCCACATTGCAGGCGGATTCTTTACCAGCTGAGCCACAGAGAAACCCAACAAGACTGGAGTGGGTAGCCTATCCCTTCTCCAGCTGATATTCCTGACCCAGGAGCCAAACTGGGGTCTCCTACATTGCTGGCAGATTCTTTACCAACTGAGCTATCAGGGAAGCCCATCCAAGAATAAATACAGTATTTCAAGTAGAAGAAAGTGATCAGCTACACCAAAGCTTTCTATTAGTTTGAGAAAATCAACACCAAAGACCTGGAAATTGGGTTAGCAGCGTGGAGCAAAGGGGACAGATACCACCAGATACGGCTCAAGAGAGAATATCATCCAAGAGTAATTAGAGACACTGACTTCCTACCATTAGGAAGTGCTCCTGGGAAGGCAAGGGGAGAAGGGGGCATTAGCTTGAGGGTGTGTGAAGTTAAAAGTATTTGTTTTTGCTTTTTGTTTGTTTGTTTTCAAGATGGGGAGAAATTGCAGTAAGATTCTTCCCTCATGGAAATGATTAAGAAAATTTTCAGAAAATTACTGGACAAGTGATAAGGGTTGGAGTCTACCGCACCCAGGGAAGAATATCTTAATTAGAAGATGGGCATTTATTTTATTTTTAGCAATGGGGAGGAGATAATGTGTGGGCACAGATGTGGGTAATTACAGACGTGTAGCAGCTCGCAGACGTCCTCACCGGATGGGCTCAATTTTCTTAGCATTTTAGGAAGCAAGGTGATCAATGGAAAAGGAAGACTCTGGAGGTTTTGGGGGCGGGAGAGGGAAAGAATGTATGAAGTGGTTTTCTGGGGTCAGAGGAAAGTGAACGGATGAAAGAAACACCATGCATATTTTAGGCAGCTTTGACAGTCCATTTGGGCTTATGGTCATAAACAAGAAGTGATGTGTACGTGTGCATGTGAGTGTGTGTATGTTTTCAGGCATGGTTAGTCACATGAATTCAAGTACAGATTAGGCAAATGGGCAGCATTAGAGTTAAATCAATGTCATAGATTTTTTTCTGGAGAGTGTGCTATAAGGATATGAGGATGAAGTTGTTGAGGGCATCACAAGAGAGTGGACTATGGGGGTCATGGCTGGGAGAGGAAGGCTCTGTGAAGAAGGGTTATTATCAATAAGTTTCAGCAAGGTTAAACAAAGAGTCAATGGAAGTCAGAGGGAACGACCTTGAGAGATTAGAATTTGTAGCTGGAGTATGATATTCTTGAAAAATAGATAATGATTGCGAAAGGTTGTTGCTGAGCCATGAAAGACGCTGGGATTCTTGGCCTCCAAAGGCGAGGAATTCGATCCAGGCCCAGAGATGAGGCTTGATTGCTCAGAGCTTTTGTGTGATAAAGATTCATTAAAGTATAAAAGTGATAGAGAAAGCTTCTGTCATAGACATCAGAAGGGGACAGAAAGAGTGCCCCCTGCTAGTTTTTAGCAATAAGTTATATACCTATTAGCAGGTTGATAATTAGAGAAAGGAAATGTCTCAAAACTCAGAGAGTGGCACCAGGCCGCTCACCCACAACATGCATTCTGAGATAACATTGGCACCAGGAGGGTCATCCCAGGCCATAAGATAATTGACATGAATCTTGAAGAAAGGCAGGTTTCCAGGAAAATACACAGTCTCATTAACATAGCTTAAGAGAACATTTCCATGAGTAAAACATACTGGTCTTTTGAGCCCTAATCCGTTCTGAGTCTTAGGAAGAATCAACTTGAAGAAAGGCAGAGTCTAAGGTAAACACATAGTTCATTAACATAGCTTAAGAAAAACATTTCCATGAGAAAAACCGCATTGGCTAGCTCAAGGTTCAAGAAAACTGAAGTTCCGGTGGAACCAGGTGTCATCATGGCAACACAGAATTTTAAAAGAAACCTCCTTTTAAATTTGTATAGAGAAGGGAAAAAAATCTTACATTTGTAATTTGTTTCCTCCTGCTGCTTAAGAGAGATAAAAAATCGTCTGATACTTGCAGCCTATTTCCTCCGTTTGGGGGCCGTAGCTTTCCTGCCTGTTACCTTCTCAGTTGGTTTCCTGCTGTTAGTATTGATAAGGTACAGGATAGGACTGGGGAATGTTTGTCTAAGGAAGGTTGGGCACGATCCTGGGGAGAAGAGGTCAAGGAACCAAGAAGGATCACAAACACAAATGTTGAAATAGCAGTGGCTTATGATAGAAACTCTACTGTATGGAGTGATAGTGACTGAGCAGTCAAAATCTTAAAGGGAAAGAGTGAGTTACCTGGGAGAGTGAAAGAAGTGGGAAATCACTGAAATTTGTCTTTGTCTCTCCAATTCCTTCAAGGAATACGGGAATGGGGCTTAAAAAAAAAACCAAAAAACAAAAAACCAAAACTCTTAAGTGTATAGTTCACTGATTAACTCAAGTGTGTAAAATAGTAGCTGGCACATTGAAGGTGCTCAATAAATGATAGGTGAATGTATCAATGGAAAACATATCTCTTATTGATATAGTATCTCTACTCTTATTGATTGCTGGAGCAAATGGCGAAGTGTGTTTGTGATTCTAGGCTACCTGTAGGCTAGATTACAGGCTGCATGGGCAAAACAAGAAGGAGAAAGGCAAGTCAGCTCGGAACCAGCTATTTGAAAGAAGTAAATTAAGAGAGTGAATATTGGTAAATGATAGTAGAATAATAAACATTAATTGGTTTTATTTTCAAGCAACATATTCATCAGACAGTAATCCTAAAGATGATCATGTTTCAAACTTTTCAGTATATCATTTACTGTTATTTTCTAAAACACTGATTATTCTTAGGTTTTTTAAACTAAACTCAATCTTCTTAAAATTTTATTCTATCAATTCTTAATTATTCCTAAGATTAGAATTACCTTTAACAAAAACCTTTTGAAGTTTATGACTGTCTACAATTGCTTGAAATAATTGTTCTCCTCCAGTGTTCAAAACACAAATAACATTTCAAAAATATCTTTTTCAGGTAAGAGACTGAAATTAGGATTTTTCAATTAATAAATGAAAAGGACAATTGCATTGTCTTTTGTTAAAAGTTAGAGTGAATAACCTACCAGGATGACATGCGATTCTGAAACTTTCTAGTCAAGATTACTGGAGTGGGTTGCCATTTCCTTCTCCAGAGGATCTTCCCGACCCAAGGATGGAACCTGCGTGTCTGGTATCTCCTGCACTGGCAGGCGTATCCTTTACCACTAGCGCCGCCTGGGAGCACCATAATGCTGTTAACTAACCCCGAATTCCGATTTTTGGCAGAGTTCCAAATCTGGGGATGAGTGGGAGTTAGGTCTCTAAAGGAATATTACGGAGCATGTGGAAATTAAGTCCTGAATATGAAGGATGGTGACCTAGGACACCTGGGTGTCTCATAGTTACTCCAGTAAACAGGGAGAAAACGAACACTGAGATTACTCCAGATTCTCTCATTTCAAAATGTTTAATAAATATGCTCAAAATAAAATCAAGTTGAATCATACTGAGTAAAATCAAATGGTTAAATCCTAAGTCTCTACTATACTGAAGATAAATTACAAGAGGCTTTATTGTGTAGATTTCTGGTGGAAAAGATCTAATTGTTTCAGTTAGTCTACAGAAGGGCCTGAGGAAGATGCAGCTCCATTTCATGTCCCAATAAGCCTGGAGTCAGGGGAAAAAAGAAAGATTCTCCCAGGTCCATTGTAGACTGTGGTCTGGATTCATTCATAATATTTTCCCCAGGGTTCCCCTTGTAAGGAGATGGACTTACTCCAAGAACTGTGGCTTCTTTTGGCAGACCTTTTGGCAGGTTATCTTCTTTCTGGTAGACCTGTCCAGGCTTCTCTCTTTCGGAAATAACGACGCCTTTCAGAGTGAAGGTGTTAAAGGCTCGGGTGGTCATGAGCTTGAGCGGCGATGGCATGGTGCTGGTGATGCTGGAAAAGAAGTGAACCCAGTTGGGACCCAAGGTTTGACTTAAAGATAGGAGACCAGACTTTCCGGGAGCTTAAGATTTTTCCCAGTTGTCCAAGAGGTGACCTGTCCTTTAGGAGCAAAACTGAGGATGGGGAGCAGCTGCAAGCCTGCTGCAGTGCTTTCACTGTGGCCAGGAAGCGTGTCGCCAGGAGAAAGCGGGAAACATTTTGAAGAGTCGAAACAGCTCACAGGAGCTTGCTTCGTACCACTCCACCCTCCTTCCAGCCACCCCTACTCTCACCCCTCTTCCTCACCCCTCTGCACCTCGGCTTCACCGTGGAACGTTCCCAACCACATCGCCTGGTGTGGTGTGGCCAGACCTCGCAGCCGCAGGGGTCGGATCCGGGCCCTCTGCCGTGGAAGCTCAGTCCTGACCACCAGGGAAGTCCCCCCGGATCGTAATTTTATGCTACATCTATTCCTCCCAGTCTTCCGCCAAAGTCTTATTTTCTTTCCTTTAAGATGTTGATCAATCCTATTCCACATCCCTTTCAGCAAATGACTTATCTCACCTAGAATGGGGGCTTCCCCGGTGGTGCTGGTGGTAGGAAATCTGCCTATTCAATCACTGGGTGGGGATGATCCCCTGGAGGGGAAAGTGGCACCCAGTCCAGCTGTTCTTGCCAGAAGGAAATCCCGCGAACAGAGGAGCCCGGTGTACACAGTCCATGGGGTCGAAAAGAGTCAGACTCGACTGGGCAGCAGCACCTGGAGCAAGCCCCTTGTCTTTGTTAGTTTCGTAATTGTCAGTGTGAGCGCTTCTTTAACTCCTGCTGAATTCTAGGCACTGGGCCGCAGTAGTTGTAATCCTTATAACAACTTAGGTGTTATTAAATCCACTTTACACATTTAGAGACAGGGATAATAAGTTCAAGTGGTTTTCATTAAATGAAATTGTCATGCAAAGTACCTAGCCTGCCATCATATAGCCAACATAATTAGTACCAGCTTGTGCTCGCATAACTGGAAAGTGCACCAAGGCCACCTGACCTGTGATTTTTCTCTCAGCACCGCATTCATCCTTGTCATTCGCTCTCTTGCATCCTAACTGGCAGCTCCAGTGTGGACTCGAGGAGAGAGCCGCTGCTGTCCCCCGGTTCGGCAGCACGGCTGGCCCCTGGGCGCTCCCAGATCTGTTCTCAGAACAACATGCTCTTTCTTTCAGGTCATACGTTGAATCAAGCCCCATGATTATCTGCTGGGGCCACTCTTAGGAACCAGTCTCTCAAGCTTCATTCATATTGTCACACAGTGCAGAATTTCCTTTTTTTAAGACTGTTCTTGGGGAAGGCTAAGTGTAGTAAGCCAGTCACATTGGACAAAAACTGCATGATTCAACTTATATATGGTATCTAAAATAGTCAGACTCATAAAAGCCAGGACTAGAATGGAATGGTGGGTTCCAGGAAATGAGGAGTTGACATAAAATATGTATAAAGTTTCAGTTATGCAAGATAAGCTCTGGAGATCTGTTGTACAACATCTTGCTTATAGACAACAATACTGTACATTTAAAATTCTCTTACAAAGAGCTCGTGTTCTGTGCTCTTATCACAATAAAAAATTTAAAAATTAAATTCAAAAGAAATTAAAAATTTTGACCTTCAGCTTAAAGATTTTTTTAAAAGTATTTGTAGTTCTGGATTCCTTCCTATATTCGTCAGTTCTCGTACCCAAGGTCTCTAGCCTGTGCTTGGTTCTAAGCCTGAAACTGGGACTGGAATCCTAGCTGGTACCCTCTACCTCACTGTATTCTCATATACCATGTATGCTTATTCTCTTTTACCACCTAAAATTTTTAATTTTATACAGGTGTTGAGTTGATTTATAATGTTGTGTTAGTTTCAGGTGCAGCTGCTGGAGACTCCTGGATGCTCACGGGCAAGTCTGGGTCAGTCCCATGTGGGATCACTGCTCCTTTCTCCTGGGTCCTGGTGCACACGGTTCTGTCTGTGCCTCCAAGAGTCTGCTTCCGAGTCCTGTCTAAGTTCTGGCAGCTCTGTGGTGGGGTTAGTGACGCCTCCTCCAAGAGGGCTTATGCCATACCCAGGTCTGCGGCACCCAGAGCCCCTGCCCCGTGGCAGGCCACTGCTGACCCACACCTCCNGTTGGAAGACTCCTGAGAGTCCCTAGGACTTCAAGGAGATCCAACCAGTCCATCCTAAAGGAGCTCAGTCCTGGGTGTTCACTGGAAGGACTGATGCTGAAGCTGAAGCTCCAATACTGTGCTGTGCTTAGTCGTTCAGTGATGTCCGACTCTTTGCGACTCCATGGACAGCAGCCTCCCAGGCTCCTCTGGTCCATGGAATTCTCCAGGCCAGAATACTGGAGTGGGTTGCCATGCCCTTCTCCAGGGGATCTTCCCAACACAGGGATCGAACCCAGGTCTCCTGCATTGCAGGCTGATTCTTTACCAGCTGAACCGCCTGGGAAGCCCATTATGAACAGTTACGATTATGAGCAATGCCACAATGATTATCTTTGCCCCTCTGTGGTGCCACGTCTATTCAATTACCTTCTGAGAGTAACATTTAGAAGTGTTTTTAAGGAGTTTAAGGCTACACTACTTCAATTTTGACATATATGGCTGGTTTTTAGGAAGAATTCTATATCACCAAGATTCTTTATGACTTTGCAAGAAGGCTCCAGACTGATGCCATCGTCTCCAAGCTCCACTGTCGGAGAGAGCTCCTTTTTCCGTCCACAATCATCAAGGGGAGATAAAGTTGTGGTAGCTCCCAACTTTGCAAAACACTTCTAAAACCCCAACTTTGAAGACAAGTCACCGCTTGGAGGCCACCTGCGCTGCAAAGAGCAGTTTTCTCTCTTACAGAATTAGAACAAATCGGTGGGGCTCCGTGCTCAGGATTCAATCTAACTGCACAGTGTTTATTGAGACCATGCTCTGTATAAGACTGACATACCAGGAAATGCAGAGAATTATAGAAAACCATCCCTCAACATCTTGAAGGAAACCTAAGGATCATTTCACTCCATCCTCTGATTTGGAAAGTAAATAAACAGAAACCTGGGAAGTCTTAGCAAGCCCAGCAGGGAGTCAGAGACAGAATGAGAATCCTATTCCTGGCTGCCCATTTAAAGGACGGCCCTGGCCCTGCAAATTCATGATCCAAGTCAAAAGAAAAAGTGAAAATGTTAGTTGCTCAGTTGTGTCCGACTCATTGCGACCCCATGGACTGCAGCCTGCAGCTCATCTGTCCATTGAACTCTCCAGGCAAGAATACTGGAGTGGGTTGCCATTCCCTTCTCCAGAGGAGCTTCCCTACCAGGAACCCAGGTCTCCTGCATTGCAGGTGGATTCTTTACCATCCAAGCCACCTGGAAAGCCCAAACTAAGGTGCCTACCTGTTCCTGCAGCCCAGGCCTGTGTGCTGCAGCTGGTGGGGCAGCCCTGCTCGGCAGGGCTCAGCCAGAACCTCCCACTGCTGTTCCTGCTGCAGCGACCTTGCTCCTCTGCCCTCCCACTTCTGACCCTTCCCACCCCCTCTTCAGAATAGCAGTACTTCCGATTACACAAGAAACGATTTGCTTTATTTACAGACAATTGATGCGTGAAAAATACTTCTTCCTCTTTCTGAATTTCAAGGTCTGGGAAATAAGACAAAGGAGAAGTAACACATAAGAGAAAGAGCTTGTGAAGATGTGTGAGATGAACAACACCAGTTAGAATCCATCTCCATTTTTCTTGGGTACATTCAGCTAATTCCTTTTAGCCTGAGTTTTCTTATCTGCTAAACTTTGGCCACCTGCTGTGAAGAGCTGACTCATTTGAAAAGACCCCGATGCTGGGAAAGATTGAAGGTGGGAGGAGAAGGGGGCGACAGAGGATGAGATGGTTGGATGGCATCACCGACGCAATGGACTTGAGTTTGAGTAAAGTGCAGGAGTTGGTGATGGACAGGGAGGCCTGGCATGCTGCAGTCCATGGGGTCGCAAAGAGTCAGACACGACTGAGTGACTGAACTGAACTGAAATGAGGGTTGTTGTTTAGCCATTAAATCATGTCCAACTCTTTTGCATCTCCATGAACTGTAGCCCACAAACTCCTCTGTTCATGGGATTTCTCAGGCAATAATACTGCAGTGGGTTGCCATTTCTTTCTTCAGGGGATATTCCCAACCCAGGAATTGAACCTGTGTCTCCTGCATTGCAGGCGGATTCTTTACCACTGAGCCGCCTGGGAAGGGGGGTAGACAATATTAACTCCACTCTGTGGCTGTTGGGAAAATTAGAGGGAGAGGACAGAAAGAGTTTACAGAATGTAGGCATTCCATAACTTGTGATAATAATGAAATTAATTTTGAACTTGGGAGAACTGATATATTTCCCCACTGCCCTGGCTGTTGGCAAAGTGAAAGCAACCTTTGGCATCTCACTGCCCACTTGTTGCTTCCTTTGGATGTCTCTTCATTTCCTGGCTTCATATCTTCCTAAGTTCAGGCTCAGAAAAGCCCAGGCACATCTCAGGAAGGATGTCAGTAGACTGGAGTCAAAGACAAAGCTATCAGGGCTGAAAGCAAGCTCATTTTCCAGGAGGTATGCATTGCCAGGGGCTTCTCTGGTTGCTCAGTCAGTAAAGAATCCACTTGCAATGTGGGAGCCTGGGTTTGATCGCCAGGTTGCGAAGATCCCCTGGAGGAGGGCATGGCAAGCTGCTCCAGTATTCTTACCTGGAGAATCCCACGGACAGAGGAGCCTGGCAGGCTGCAGTCCATGGGGTCGCAGGGTCGAACACGCCTGAGTGGCCGAGCACATGTGCATTGCTGGGACGTTGTTGCCACTTTCACCTCCTTTGAAGGCTGCTTGGAGAACAGGAGGGGAGGGGGTAGGATGACTCTGGGATGTGCAGCCGGTGACAACAGCTGACAGGAGGATGTGCTTCATGTTTCTTAACTTCCCCAGGGCTGACAAGGCTGTCCCCTGAGAGAGGAACAGGTCTCAGCCAGGAGGGTTGCAGGAAACTTGTAAAATGCTTGGGGGAAATTTTAGTCCAATTTTTTAATCACTTTAGACCATTTAAAAAAAAAATCACTTCAAATGAGGCGATACTGCTGAGGGAACTCACCCCAGGTCACGGGTCAAGCCGGTGAAGCATCAGGACAAGTCTTAGCAGAAGGTCCAGGCCGACACCTTGGCGACAGTCTGCCATTTTGTCAGCATTGTCTTCATCCGCATGACCAATGTCTCCCTCATCAAAGAAAACCCTCACGGCCCAGGCCTTTCTCCAGGTCTGTGATCTGCTTTGAATGATTTGCCAAAGAAGAATCTCAGTCATCTGGGATACTCTCATCCTCCTTCTGAGTCTAAGTAGGAGTTCATAGGAAGATCAGTTGGCTATCTCGTCAGTTTCCCCATGTGTTAAACGAGATACAACGTCTCCAGAGTTTGTACGATTGTCGTTCATAATGCCGTGTTCATTTGTTTATTTGTTGTCCTTGACCGCGCCGAGTCTCTGCTGTGTGCGCAGGCTGCTGCTGGTGGCAGTGCTGGGGGTTCTCATTGTAGTGGCGTCTCTGGCCGTGGCCCGTGGGCTCAAGAGTAGTCCCTGTGACTCACAGGCTTAGTGGCTCCGTGGCATGTGGGATCTTCCCCAATCGGGAATCGAACCTGGGTCTGCTGCATCGGTAGGTGGACTCCTAAGCTTTGGACTACCAGGGAAGTCCCGCAAAGTCACATATAAAGTGCCCAGCATCGAGTCTGACATAGAGTAACATTGAGAAAAATCTGTATTCCGTGTCCAGTATCTTGTCCCACCTCCTTTATAGAAAAGCATATTTTATCCCTAGATTGATCTCTGGTCTCCATGGGGAGTTTTTCTCTTTTAACATCTACTCTCTGATTCTCTGGTGTGTTGATTTGGACATACTCAGTCCTTTCACCATTTCCTGGTGTTCTGCACTGGCAAGCACCTTCTGCTGTGAAGTTTGCTCTAAAGGTGCAGTCTAGGGTTGGCCACAACTGAGCGACTGAACTGACTGCCTAGGCATTTAACAATTTCCCGCTCGCCCCCTCCCTCTAACCGGCAGTGAACCTAGTACAGGTGACATGCATCTCAGATTTCTACTGACCTTGAACAGAGGTGACTGAGATTTTTTTCCTCTCTAGAAATGGGGAATGCAGAGCCTACTGTCCAGGAGTGATTCCCTAGGGCATAGTTCACTGACCTCTTTGGAGTCTGACTTCGGTTACTGTCTCTGGGTGTGTGCTAAGTCGTTTCAGTCTTGTCCGACACTCTCCGACCCCATGGACTGTAGCCCAGCAGGTTCCTCTGTCCGTGGGATTCTCCAGGCAACAATACTGGAGTGGGTTGCCGTGCCTCATCCAGGGGATCTTCCCCACCCAGGGATTGAACTCGAGTCTCTTACGTCTCCTGCATTGGCAGGCGGGTCTTTACCAGTCACACCACCTGGGAAGCCCGCATGTGGACTCTATGCATAGGTTTTCTCTGCTACTTCTTAGAATCTCACATCATGACAGCAGAAGGAAAGTTAAAGGATCTTTACCCACCCTCACATTGGGAGATTTCGTCTCCTGACTGTTAGCCTAAGTTATATCAGATATGTAACTTACTACCAGCTGTGTGGTAGTTTGTGGAGTCTAAATTTGAATTCAGGTAGTCAGGGGTCAGGGGCCAGACTCTATAACTAGTCTGCTGGGCTCTCACTGCTGGGAACTTGCTTTCCTGATCCTCTTTTCTTTTTTTTAAATATATATTTTTATTAGGCGCTGTATTTCTTTTTTTTAATTTCTTTATGTTGACATCTAGTTGATTAACAGTGTTGGTTAGTTTCAGGTGTCCAGCAAAGTGATTCAGTTATGCATGCGCATATGTCTATTCTTTTCCAGATTCCTTTCTCATTTAGGTTATCATAGAATACTGAGTGTAGCTTCCTGTGCTATACAATAGGTCTTTGTTGGTTATCTACAGAATGATCTCTGTTCATTTCAAAGGCAAACCATTCAATATCACGGTAATCCAAGCCTCTGCCCCAACCAGTAACGCTGAAGAAGCTCAAGTTGAACGGTTCTATGAAGACCTACAGGGCCTTTTAGAACTAGCACCCCCCAAAAAAATGTCCTTTTCATTATAGGGGACTGTAATGCAAAAGCAGGAAGTCAAGAAACACCTGGAGTAACAGGCAAATTTGGCCTTGGAGTACAAAATGAAGCAGAGCAAAGGCCAATAGAGTTTTGCCAAGGGAATGCACTGGTCATAGCAAACACCCTCTTCCAACAATACAAGAGAAGACTCTACACATGGACATCACCAGATGGTCAACACCGAAATCAGATTGATCATATTCTTTGCAGCCAAAGACGGAGAAGCTCTATACAGTCAGCAAAATTAAGACCGGGAGCTGACTGTGGCTCAGATCACGAACTCCTTATTGCCAAATTCAGACTTAAACTGAAGAAAGTAGGGAAAACCACTAGACCATTCAGGTATGACCTAAATCAAATCCCTTATGACTATATGGTGGAAGTGAGAAATATATTTAAGGGACTATATCTGATAGACAGAGAGCTTGATGAACTATGGACCGAGGTTTGTGACATTGTACAGGAGACAGGGATCAAGACCGTCCCCATGGAAAAGAAATGCAAAAAGGCAAAATGGTTGTCTGAGGAGGCCTTACAAATAGCTGT